AGACTTAGATTATTAAATATCCATATTTTATTATACCGATAAGGGTATTTATAGAATACGTATTAATATTATATCACTTTTCAGTATAGTGATTTAACATTTTTATTATATATTTTAATACGATTTTGGATAAAAAATAATTTTCTTCGTTTTTTGGTGTAATGTTTTCTGAATTCCCTTGATACTGCGATAAAGAATAATAAATACTATCCGCATTGGCTGTGGCGTTAGTTGGATATATTTGATTATTTTATTACAATAAGTTTCGGTTGTTTTGCGAATTCGAAGATGCTGTTTCTGTATTATTCACTATTACTTCTTTTGATACCGTCTATTATTTCATTTGATAACAATTTTTTCCTTATTATGATTCTGAATTCATCTTAAATTCGTTATATAATTAATAAAGATTTTCTATAGATTCCAAAATTTTGATTTTATTATAAGAAGACCGGCTTGTAATGGAACAGTTATACTTCTACATTTCGTCTGGTGAGTAAGTTATCTGGGGCCAATTTTTTAAAAAGGTACTTTAACCGCTACCGATGTTGCAAAGGTCCATTGGCAGCAGTTATCACTTCACATTAGATGAACCGTCAGCTCGCTTGCCATCTTATTACATAAAAAATTGCCTGTAGTACACGATGGTGGCCTGATGTGTGGTTGGGACGAACGGGAATGAACTTTGAGAAGCTTTATGACTTATTACTGTTATTCTTATTATTGTTATTAATGATTAATTAGACCAATAAATCAGTTTTGTTATTATCTGTGATAGCAGATACAAAGATTCTTTCGGTGCACAACGGTGCTCTTGAGGGCACGGTATACTTTTTGAATAAAAATGTACGGGATGTATACATGGAATAATAATTAAATATCATCGTAATGCATTCGTGTTATTTTACCATATATTGACTTATCTTCTAATTGAATGTAAGAGTACAGAGATTATTTATAATGATTAGTATCCGAGGTACCATGGCTTCAAGGAAGACAAACAATTATCCAAAATTACACAACAATAGCCATAAGGTATATGGCTACCTAAATTGTTAGCGATCGAAAAAACCTCTTACATTGTTTATCATTAAACAATGAACAAACAATTTGCGACTAACAGAAGCGCTAGAATAGTGCCCGATTTTCTCCATGCACCGAGGACCGATGATGGGTTTTTGTAGTCGCGCTGCTACAAAGGCAGCCTCAGAGATTTATGGCTCGAGTAGTGTGATCATGAGACATTAGCAGCCAGTGTTGTCCGCCACATGTGGGCTTTGTGAGAGCACACTGGCGGTGCGCAGTAGCATCTCGGAACTCCGGACTTGTCACTAACATCGATCGCCTTTGTTCTATCCGCTCGTAAAGTTGTCGACAGGTCTGCATTTGTTTCTTTTTTTTTCGGGCTGTAATTCGGGTACAGCTTCTGTAGCTGCTTTTGATATGAGCGCGCAGTTGTACACGGTGCTGCTAGTTTTTTTTAGTAATAAATCGATATAACACAATCAAATCAACTATGTTACATTTATTACAATTAAAAAAAATATGTTATCTGTGAGCTTTCAAAAACAGCTGAGTGCCTTCAAATCTTTTTTAGTATTTGAAAAAGATTTGAAGGCAGTCTGCTGTTTTAAGACTTACGCCCGGTTTCTGAAACACTAATCAACGTAGATGTCAACTAATCAGCTGTCAAATGGTTTTTCAAATTTCATTTTAGTTGCCAAAAGAATAGTTAAACTCTCTGAATTTATTAGAATGATCTTCTTAATGATCAATTCAAAGAGTTTTACCACCCTTTTGGCAACTTATATGAACATATATATTTGAAAGCTTTTGACATATTACTTGACATCTACGATGATCAGTATTTCAGAAACTGGGCGTCAGATTTAGAAATCGAGATATAACGGTTCTGTAATAAGATGACCCTTACATATTTTTAAATTACATTAAAATTAGATAGGTGCATAGGTTTAGACTATGCTTTCACTTTTATCAATTTTAAATATTACGTCCAATGTAATAAATTAAATTACGTTTCAATTTACCACCATTATAACTTCAATTTTAATTTCGTTTTCGAAGCCGTTTGCTAAAAATTAAAATATACATAAACGGCTTTGTTGTCTACAGTATGATAGAATCTCAGTAGAATCGCTCTTTCTCTACCTTTTTTAAATTGATTATAACGCACGCTAGTTTTTGATTAAAATGTAAATGAGAAAAAATTATGGCACCTTCAAGAAAACCTAAAAAGATGCCTTTCTTGAAAGTGCTATAATTTTTTTGCATCCCAATCATCAAATCTCCTACCTATATTTGAAAACCAAATCAGAAATAAGACGTCAATGGTTTAATTTCTAATTTTATTTTCAGACTTCAATCATGGACGCAACATCGCTTAGCATAAGTTTTCTTATCTCCTTCCATCTTATTATTAATGGGAATACAATTTAAGAAATCTGTTAAATAAGAAAAGGAAAAACATTCAGCGGTACGAGAGAGCGGTAAAACAAAAGCGAGCAGGGCAAACGATTTAACAAACTGCCATATTTTAACAACGTGTAATTAAAGGTTTGGCTCCGCTCGGATATGCATAAATCATACGTCAGCCGCGAACTGCCGCCCGAAATAGAGAAAAAATTAAAAACATTAATGCGCCTGGGAGTTCGGAAAGGAAAAACGATAAATAAATAGTCTGTGAGGAGATAGCCCGTTAGATGGAGATAGACATCTATAATTACGTTACTCAGTTGGTCTAAAACATTTATCATTTATCCTTAATAGCATATCCTTGAATATCTAAATAATTAATTAGTAAAAGCCTTTTAAGCCTATGTTTCACCGCTGGGAAAAGCTCGCTTTTAATTCAATAAGCTCGAGCAACCTGAGTTCGATCCCCGGTGCCGACCAATGAAATTTTAATTGTAGGCGCTGGCTTATCACGTGCTTAGCGTTAAAGGAAAACGTCGTGAGGACAACTGCATATTTTCAGAATAATAACAATAAAAAATATTTCGAAGATATGTGTAGTCCACCAATCCGTAGTGGGGCCGCGAGGTGGATGATGGCCTAATACCAAAAAATGTACAGAGGAGGCTTTTAATAAAAAACATATATAGGCTGTTTACTTTACTTTACTTAAAGATTTTTGTTATGGATTTGGAAAAAAATATGTGAGTATAATTACGATGCGCGCGCACACCAACAGCGATATGATTAAGCTAGTTGCAAACGGACAACTTCGACCAACTTGGCGTATTACAATTGCAACAAATAAAAAGTTTTTGAATTTCACCTATAATTCCAAGTTATTTCATTAAATTGCTATCAATTGCATGTCTTTTTCCCTAATAACGAGTACTGGCACAGGAGTTAAATTAATATTTTTCTCTTTTAAATTAATATTTCTTTTTGGTACGCTAAAGTGTCTTCTTACGTGCGTCCATAAGTATACACACGTTTTTTTTTATTATTCCGATGGTTTGCAGGTCCTAGACTATACCTGCTTCCACCGCCGAACACGTGGTGGAATCAGCACTAAATAATTTTATCTGTGCCCTGATTATTTCAACTACTAGTAGAGTTCAAATCTCATTGGGCTGCAAACCACAAGGAATAAATTTGACCTTCGTTATGTAAGTGATTCAGAGCACATGTACGTTTATACGATATTTTGTTTATATATTTTATTATATTTTTTTTTATTATACAAACACTCATTATAAGATTATTAGGACGGATAATAAATTTTAGAATAAATATATTGGGTTATATTGGCAAATGGTTAAACTGCACCAAAATAAACCGTATATCAAGATTTATACATATTCTCAGTTTGTATAGATCTTGATATATATACACACAGTCTCAAGTACTCTCATTCTCATAAGAGAGACGAGATCGACTTGTAAAATATGACGAAGAATTTTACAAGTTTTCCTTACTTGAGCTTTTTTATCTTATAGGAAACCCTTTCATGACGAACCCCCAGCTTTCTGAGCTTTCAGGGAACAAGTCAGCTTTAAATCAGAGCTTCTTGATTTTAAAATGAGAAGATGGGCTTTCAAATCAAAGATGGTTTTTCAGAGAGTAGCGTTTAATTTAACATGAACAATTACTTCCATAAAATATGTCGTATACCGAGGTACACTATCATTATATTCATTACATATTATATATTACATATTCTTACATTGAATTGATAATACATATTAAGAGCTTGTATTCGGTTATACTCATATGTTAAATAATATTAAAATCTACCACGTAAAAAGTTTTTATTTAGTTTTACTTTCTTGTTATACAGTTTAGGGTTGTTGCCATGTTTTAGCGTGACATTAATATAACATGTTATTTGTATAATTGTCAATGAAAATTCGATATAAATAACATGATAATAAAGCGTGAAAGAAGCATACATTGAAGAAAACAAGTCATTTTTACCGTATATCGTTTTATAGGCGGTCAAATGAAATGTAAACATAACCTTAGCGCGGCGAAGTTCTCTTGTATTAGTGTTGCTTTCACATAAGAGTTCGGGTCGTAAAGCCATAATTCACGGGCGGAGCGAGGTGTGTCGGAGGCTGCGCTGCCGGGGTGGGGCAGGGGGGCGACAGGGGGGGATGTCGGGGTGCGCGCGCGCCGCTCGCGGGGTGCCTGAGGGGCAGGGGCGAGGTGACAACCGCTCGTTACGTCTATTCCAAGCCAGTTATTAAAAACGTCTCGGCGCGAGCGGTGCGCCGCCCTGTAATTATCCAGTTGTAGTTTCGGTCGCGCTACGTTGTCACCACTGTCGCTGGAAATGCAATACGTGGATCCGCCCGCTCAACAGGTCTGTCCGCCCGCCCACGCCCCGTTATTGACGTTAATAGCGTTCAATTAAATTAGATCACCGCGAAATGTTACATTAAAATTCATCTGTCATTGTTGCGTAGTGACAATTAGTTTTGCCCGCCACGTCCACCTCGCATTTCGTTGATGTCGAGTGATTGTTACAGATGATGAATATGATGGGGGGCTACGGATGCGGCTATGGGCGCGGTGATGCGCTGTCCCCGGCTTCGGATCTGTCGTCGTGCAGCAGCGCGTCGTCCGGCGCCTGGTGCGGGGCAGCCGCCGCTTGGCGCGACCTACAGCCCTACCCCGCCCAGTACCCAGCCTACTGGCCCCCGGCCGCCAGCGCGGCGACGGAGGACGCGCGGGAACTGCAACGGCGCTGCGCCAAGTGCCGCTGCCCCAACTGCCTCACCGAGGCGGCGGGCTTCGGTCCCAACTACGGGAAGGACGGCGCCAAGCGTGAGCACGTGTGCCACGTGCCCGGCTGCGGCAAGGTCTACGGGAAGACGTCCCACCTGAAGGCGCACCTGCGCTGGCACACCGGCGAGCGCCCGTTCGTCTGCAACTGGCTGTTTTGCGGAAAGCGCTTCACCCGCTCCGACGAGCTGCAGAGGCACCTGCGCACCCACACGGGCGAGAAGAGGTTCGCGTGCCAGCAGTGCTCGAAACGCTTCATGCGCTCCGACCACCTCGCGAAGCACGTCAAGACACACGCAAATGCGTCCAGGAAATCCAAGAAGCTCAAGGACGACGATTCAGAGGAGGCCGTGAAATCTGATAAGAGTGAAAGTACCGTCACAAACGAGAGCCCGCCAGCGGTTCCAGGCAGCACGAGTTACGGCACCGTGCCCACTGTTGAGAGAGAGCAGGCTTCGCTGAGCTACGGTGCAATGGCTCCCGCCGTCTCTGTGGCATCAGCTGGCCACCCCGTCAACGTTTACAACGGCAGTGCGGTGTTCGGAAACGGCGCAGTTCCCGCCAACGGCTGGTACACGGAGGGCCATCAGGATGCCCTGTACGCGCGGGCGCCGATGAGGGACCACCGCTTCTACCAACAATACCCCGCACCGTTAGGCACGTATCAATGCGCTGCGAAGAACAACTACGCCATGTTCCACGGTCACTATAATCTGCAACCACCAGTCGCTATTGGACAATAAAAGTGCTTTGTTGTATAAGTTCCGCATAATTCACAAGTGATTTAAAAGTATTACAGGACCTTTTGTTCAGTGTCTAGTTAATGTTAAAAGTTTTTGTTAAGTTACCAAACAATTTATATTGTGATGTATTTGCCAAGTTACAAGCCTTGATAGTTCTAAGGTGAAGGGCATGTTGATTATAAAGTTTATTTTTTAATTTAATAATAAAATAATTGAATTAATTGACTTCGTTTTATACTTTGAAAAACCCTATAATCTTCATGATACGTAAGTAAGCGCAGTCATTTAAGAGTGAATTTCCTTGCAGCTCACTGCTATTACCTAAAAACTTTTTAACATATTTTAATATATATAATCTTTGCAATTTTTTTATAATATAATTTGTGACTAGCGCACATATTTTTTTTATGTGAAAAGTTTGCCAAGCGAACAGACGGTTCACCTGATGTTAAGTGAATATCCCCGCCCATGGACATCTGCTACACCCGAAGGTTGCAGATGCGTTGACAACCTTTTGAAAATTGGGCTCCGGCCACCTCACTCACCAGGCGAAACGCGAAAGTATTATACTTCAACTTTACGCCGATCTTCTGTGAGGTCGTGGTACTTACCCGGACGAGCCAGCCCATTCGTGTAACAGTCGAGGTTGCTGCGTGGCCCTACCACATATTTTTATTTCTGTATTTCGAGTTGAATTATCAATAGTTCTCGCAGACTTCATGAAAGATGCTACTTAGATATTAACCAAAGTTTAGAATAACAGTGGCATAAATGTAGACCGACGAACTTATCACGTTGTCTGACGTAAATCATAATTCGTTATTTATAAACCATATAAGGTAAAAGTTGTATGTTAATGATACCCAATTGGTGATTCTTAATTTAAAGCTTTTTACGGATTTGTTGTGTTTAATCTATAAATATTGGTCGAATAACAAATAACTGATGGGGAAGAAAGATTCTCGAGTAGAATCCTCGTATTATCGTAGTATAGGACGGCCCCGCGCTAGATGGTGTGGCGACCTGTGCAAATATGCGGGACGTCTATGGTAGGCTGGGGGGAGACGTACGTTCAACAGTGGCCCCGAACATTCTGAACAATGGTGATGATAAATCTATAAATTGACAAATCCGTAAAAATAGCTTAATTTAATAAAAAAGTGTAAAGCTGGCTTTGCGAAGACTTTTGTTCAATGTAACCGTTCTGACCGAGTGTCAATATTCCAATTTCGTCAACTTAAGTTGTTGGTAAACTTACAGCATATTATTATTTACTTACTTTCAATGACCCTACTCATAAAATGTGCTCCGAGTGTAAATGGATATACCATTTTAATAATGAAAAAATATTGAATATGAGCAGGTAGGTCTGCGCAGCATCCACGCATGACAAACTTCCGAATGTCATGAAGAAAATAAATATTTTAAGAAAATACTGCGCAGTGAACACCGAACACAATGATAAAATAATGTTATTTTAGTGCCTAACCTAACCTAACGAATTTATTATATTAAGCAAATATAGTTTCTCGCCCTTCTCTTCTCTTAGTTTTTTTGAGTAATGTATTTATTTTTTTTATGCTTTTATTGTAGACTTGTCGAACATATTTGCACAGTCAGTAGTGTGAATAGAATGCATCATTGTAAATAGTTAGTAATAAATACATGATATACAATTAAAACTTGTAGAAAAAGTACGAAAAGATAGTCGCCGCTGTGGGAATCGAACCCACGTCTTCGGCATCCGCGGCCTGACGCTTTAGCCACTAAGCTTAATGGCTGATTGCCACCCCGACGAAAATCTAAAGGTCATTTATCTACATTGTTTTTAAGCATTTGAAGCAATGCTTGGCGCATCTATTGTTGTATCCTTTCCAGCATACAAACGATTTCGAATATCGTTTTACAAAGATAACGTCAAACGAGTTTAATATACTCGAGCAACCTGAGTTTAATCCCCCAGTGACAGTAACAATGAAATTGTCAATTTTAAGTGCTGAATTATCACATGCTCAGCGGTGAAGGAAAACATCGTGAGGAAACCTGCATATTTTCGAAATAATAAGAAAAAATATTTCGAAGATATGTGAAGTCCACCAATCCGCAGTGGGGCCGCGTGGTGGACTATGTCCTAGCCCTCTGTACAGAGGAGGCTTTTGCCCAGCAGTGGGACATGTATAGACTTTTATTTTAAATACATTGGCACGCATCTATTTTTTGTAAATGAGTTTTAATAATTTTTGTAATAATGATTATTTATGTACTCAAATTTTATTTTCTTAATCACACAGATCCTGAAAAAATACTGATGACTAAATACTTTTCCCCTATCGAAATCGAACCAACAATTCGATTGATCTAAGGCTGATACCACTGCGATAATGCAGGTAAAATTTCTATGTCATGATAAAGGGAAATTATTTATTTTTCCACTAATAAGATTCATGTCTTTTTATAACTAATTCATATTAGTATTTCATAACGCAATAATAGTTTATGACACTGACATTTAAACATAAGTTATCAAATCATGTGATGTTTGAAATAGGGATTACGACCTTATATGAAGAAATCTGCTTACTTCATTATCTTTACAGTTTTAAGGTTCATGATGTTTTAATTGAGTTACAACTACATCACAAAGTAGCTAACTTAGCTTTTCACAACGAAAACTTTAGAAAGCATCCTTCTCGATAACTTTAATGTCGCTCGGTGATGTCTTTTCGAGTTTACAGTTTAGTGGTTGACATCGAAGGAAGAATTGATAACATGAAATGGTTTACGGGCAATTGAAAGTCGTCAGAAAAGGTAACATCAAAGTCAACAATTAAATTATTTTTTAAACGATTAGGACATTGTTGTTACATGAATCCATTTGAAATTAAGGAATTTGTCGAACTGAAACATTATTCGTTGTGGCTTTCCGCCGACAGATGGCAGTGTGCGACAAGTGCGCGGTGGCGCGCCGCGGCCGCGCGGTAATTGCGCGCGGCTATTATCTGGGCGGGCGCTCGGCGCGCATGGCGGCCGGTGCGAGCGGGATGCACTCGATAACACGTAAAACAAAACGGGGGAGTAGGTAATAATGGTAAAAAACGAGCAGCACGCAAATTATAGTGAGAAATGAGGCAGCCGGTAGCGGTGGGGGCCGCGTGGTGAGGTGGGGGCCGGCGTGCGGCAGTCGCGGTCGCCGGGATCACGCAGAGCGCACGCCCGCGCCCGCGCCCGCGAGTGCTGTGAGTGAGTGACATGCGCCGGAGCAATGAGCGGCAAGCCCTCCTCGCCGGACCTGCACATGAATGTGAGTCCAGCGGACATCGTTCCCATAGCACTAACACGATTGTCTTGATGTCTGGTTCGGACAGTAGGTCTACTAACATGCACCAAAGGGAAGTCTTTTAAAACTGAAGTCTTTTAGAACTGAAGTTTTTTAAAACTGAAACTCCTCACATCTAGAATATTGAAAAGTATCACAACGTATCCAAAAATAAACGTCTACACTTTCTAATTTTCGCAAAAGCTGCCATCGCTGCGGTCTTTGTAACATGTGATAACGTAATATAGGTACGTTGGGTTATTGATGGTATATCTGAAAAACGTTTTATCGGTTCATTAAATCCATAATCCCGTGGCGAATAGGTACATGTAAATGAGACCAAACCCGCCCGAACCCCGTAATAGAGTTATCACGAGAATAATGCGAATTCTTCACGGACCAGATTGTAATCCATACAGCGTGTCTCGTTTAAGTAAGTTTATAAAACAGTCCGTTAGTTGGGAGAGCGCCCTTGGGTATTGTCGATTTAGTACGCACCATAAGCGGTATTACTCACGACGGAGACCGCGTCCCCTGCCCTAACCTCTATTACTATTCATGGCCACCGCCCTCGCCCATTCTGGAGGACCCGACGCAATCTAAACGCTAAAATGTGTTGAGGAAAACTATTTGCTATAGTTTTTCTCGACAAATGATCAAGTTCGATGTCCAAGATTTAATTAAGAATTTCTAATTATATACGCAATTTGATTAATAATCCTCTGCTTAAACTAAATACGTAAACGATAAACATAAACAAATACCGGAGGAGCAAGAAGTCATCAAAATAAAAAGTAAAAAAAGCGTCCAGGCAACAAATAATATAGTTAATTAGGATTGAATATTTTTAAATTAGGAACGCTCAAAGGTCGACGTAAATGTTATTGTTATTGTCCAGAAATTGTCTATTACATTAGTTCCGAACGTTACTAGCAGCTCGTAAAACTACTGAAAAGCTAATTCAATTAAGTGAAGTCAAATAAATAAAGGTCGTGCCGGCACCATCGCCGTAGCCAATCCCTAATGACACATAGAGCCTTAGTCCATTTTCTACTCAATTTCCTTTTCATATTAGTTTAATCTGTAGGCAGGACTACTGGCGCCAAAAATTATGCCGCGACGGCCGTGTCGGACGCGGCTAATCTTTTTAGCGTTATACTGTGGGGCGTACGGCTCCTTTGTGCGGTGAAAAAGGAAGAAATTTATGTGTTTCGGCGTCGTGTGAGTTTTTTGTCGGAATGTAATTAATAATTCGGCGGCAAAACTAACAGTGTTTTTCGTTGCAGCTCCGTCCGGGTGATTGATGTATGCGGGATAGTTGCAATTGGCGCGGTAAACGAATTTGCTAGGTTTGCTTTTGTTTTTTTTTTCGTGGCCAAGCCGTCATTAGTAAACTGATTCGAAAGTCGATTCGCCTTTTGATGTGCTTAATTACGCGGCCGCCTCGGCGTTGCGTTTTGTCATTAATCTCTAAATATAGGGGTAATTGCGGTAAACTGTTGCATTTTACGGATAGATAATGAAGTATAACCGAGCAAACCGGCGCAGATGCTTACTTGTTTATATTATGTTTTCCCAAGGCATGTTGGTCCTTTTAATATATTCAACATAGATGTGTTTTTTTTTACACAAATACATGTAAATTTTAATTAAAAAGTTCAATGTTACTATATCAACTCTAGAAGTAAACCAATTTGACGGTTACAACTAAAATAGAAGCAGACATATTAGATTAAGTAATAAGATTAAATGTTTGAAAATCTTTAAAATAGTCTACCTGTGCGATGCCGATGCCATTTTTATTTATAATTTAACTGACACTTTAAAAAAAGTAACATGTACATGCTAAATTTAAAAGTTTGTATGTATTAAGACCTCTACGTTTCGGACATGTAGGCATTATAGTTAGAATCTCTTCGCAGAAAGTCTTAAAAAGGTATATGTATATACAAAACAAAGGTGATTTTCGTATATTTTTGTTTGTTTTCTTATTAAGAAAGTTATTAATTTTTTATATACTATTAATATCAATGGTATTATTGTTAACTAGCTGCTGCCCGCGACTACGTCTGCGTAGAATAGGCTGAAGGCGTAACATTCACACAGAAAGACAGATATACATAAAATATGTAAATAAATTATAGTCTATGTCCTATTCTGATGTATAAGCTATATAGTATTGTAAAGTTTCATTAAAATCCATTCAGTAGTATTTGCGTGAAAGAATAACAAAGATCCATCCATACATACAAACTTTCGCCTTTATAATATTAGTAAGGATATTATTACAGGTTATACAGGTCATTAAAATAAATTATATTTTTGGAGACAGCTTTTAATTTAACAAAACTATACTCTCGTGCGCCGTTATACAAGTAATTACGTTTAAAAATTATTCAGCGAACGATTTGAAAGCGTTCTTAAAACTTGTTTCGGATTTGACGGCTGGCTTTGTGTAGGTGCAGACTCTTACAAGTCACGTTGAACTTGTCGCTCGGTTGCTTAGGAACAGATTTGTTTCTTATACTAACTGAATGACGACTTTAAAATAACCATTTAAGGTTACATTCTATATAGGTAAGAAAGTAGTTTTCAAATACGCCGTTTCGTAAATTTTATATGATTGAACCGTATCGTGAATATTTTGTTGACTTAATTTGTTCAAATCGGTTTTCAAACAATGGGACTGTGGTAAGGAACTTGCTCGTGACAAAGTTGATTTGACCTTACATATTATAAAGAATCAATTACTCTTCTATAATGTTATGTTATAATATAGAACACTTTAAATGTAAAACTAAAACCCCGCTAAACGGGAACCAGCTTAAGTGCTAACATAACATTAAAACGTAAGACTAAACTCCAATCTCTCAAAAAAAGTTATCACTATTTCATTACATTTATATTACCACCACAACCACATGTACACTTGTACGTAAGTAATTTTTCATCCGGATGCGAAACGTGTTGAATTTTATTTATCATTTGCGTTTAATAATTACATTTGTCAAGCGTTTGCATTTCATAAACTTTAACGGTTTATAATTGATGAAGTCTGTCATTAGCAATTACGATTGTCGCTAAAAAACTTATCATGCTAGCTTTTTTTGACTTACCTACAACTGTTATTGTTACTGTATCGAATTTTAAGTACTTTTTTGAAGTAAAACTTCTTTAGGCGCGACTAGGGAGTAACTCAGATTTTTTCTGACGGCAAGTAGCGTCAAAAGTATATGTCATATTTTTAAAATATGACATATACTTATGACGTTACTAAATATTTAATCATTTCAGTGCTATATGCCGTCAACGCCAAAGAAGTTTTACTTCAGTCGCGCGTAAAGGTTACACGCACACACTTTTTTATTATCAAGTAGACTATACATTTGTTAGTATCTCATACTCATTGCACATACTTGTTGTATCTCATGAATGAATCTGATAGTCTATGTGCATAATATAAGAGGCCATAATAATATCATTACCGTGAACTCATAGCCTATGAGTTCACGATGATGCGTTAGGACATATTAATTTCCTTTTTTTATGTGAGAGGGTTGCAAACGAGCTGCAGTTCACCTGATGTTAAGTGATAACCGATGCCCATGGACATTTATATCATCCTAAGGGATGGAGATGCATTGCCACCTTTTAATAAAGTGGGCCCTGGCTACCTTCTCCCGGCTCCTTCCTACGGCCGGCTCACCAGACGAAACGCAGAAGTATAACACTTCCACTTCCCGCCAGTCTCCTGTGAGGTCGTGGTACTTACACGGACGGACCTGCTTATTTGTGTGACAGTGAAGACTGTTGCACGGTGGCTCTACCACAGTTTTTTTTGTGGGGAAAGCGTGCCACGAGAAAGAGGTTGAATTGATGATTAGTGATCAGCACCTTCCATAAACACCTACAAAGTTTGGGCCTCTGGTGATTTTACTCAGAAGAGCAAGGCAATAGTAAATATTTTATTTTACATAGTACTTCATTGAGTTCACGGGCGCTTTCATAATGTAACGTTGCTCTTTCATTACAAATCTAAAGTATTGAAGCTTTGATAGAGAAGATGATTAATGTCTCAAAGAAAAAGTAGTCTTTATGCGTAAAAAATAACTACAAAAGCTGTCAAGTATTCGTCACTAGGTTGAAGGGAAATACCTAGTAGTAGATAAAGTACTGAGTGTACGTTATCTAATTGATAATGTCTACATAAGAACCGAACCCCGGGATACTAGTCTTCTCACTGGGAAGTTTTGTGGCCTCACAAAAGACTGGTGTAGAGTAAGTAGATCTACTTATACTTTGGGTTTGATCTGATTACTGAGCTGGCCGGGTTTTTCTTTTAAAGGAAAAGTGAACACCATACATTGTTTCCTACCCTACGACAAAACAGCCTTGCTTAAAATGAATAAAAACAAAAGTCAATGATGGATTTTATATTTAATCTGTTGATCGGCAAATACCACACTTTGTTGGATTGTGCAGCTTTATTTGATTTTAGATTTGAGTGATGGGATATGACTATGTTACGTTAAAGATGGGATGTGTAAAATGTAGGTACTGTAAAGGTGACAGAATAATAATATCACATATTTGAGGTGCAAATATATTATGGACAAAGCTCAATTATATGCTTAAAATTTATGTATAACGCGTACGATTTGGAATCTTTCAAATAAATATAGCTAAACATATAAACGTGATGAATCAAGCATAAATCGAGATAGTTTCTCTTAGAGTACTCCTTGACGTCGCGCTTAACTACTAGTGGAAGTTGTTGCCGCGGATTATAACATGTATTAGATGGAAATTTTACGGCGAACGGCAGGATATAGGCAATCCGGGCGTCAGCCCCCGCGGAATACCGTTGCGCGGTCGGGTTTTAATTGGCCACGCGATGTTCCCGTCCGACTTTTTCCTCTCGACAAATTGCACCCGAGTGCATAATGGGCGATGCGTGCGACCGCCTCTTCCCCGTACGCGGCCGCTCTTGTTTCGCGCAAAT